TGGGGGCTGTTTCATGGAGGTTCAGAAATCCACCCGATTTTTACTGCCCTTTTCCTGAGTTGAGCTGTTCTGAGAGCCTTTGTGAGGCAGACCTGTTGTGACCCACAGCGGATATGGAAATGGGGCTAAGGTTTTATGGGCCAAACGGATTGGACACAGTCAAGCTCAGGGGGCATGAATATTGGATGTTATTTCTGCTCCCTTTTTATGTAATCCATTGCCAATACATTATTAATAGATGATATCATATCCAGAACTACTGGACAAAGCACTACAGAGGAGTACTATGAAAGGAGCTCTGTGTGGTGGAGACTGGATGAAAATATAGTTCAAGTGATATTATTTTATCACCGTAGTTCAGCACTTTCTGACCAGGTAGTGTTCACGCTGTAATTTTTAGGCTAAGTGAAGTTCATATAGAAAAGGAAAATATTATTCCAGAGGTAAATCCTGCTTTTGTGGGTTTGAAATGCATTTAAACATTGATGAAGTATCAAATGACACCCAAATACAAGTTTAATGGATGTTGAAGCACTGGGATATTTTGCTCATCCTTCTTGACTGTAGTGAGTGAAGTGGAAATCTTTGCGAGGATATGGAGTTTTCCTTGCAAAGCTGACTCCCAGTGTACGGCAGCAGGGGAGCAGTATCCTATCTGATGTATGGATTCACAGACAGGAGGCTTCGCTAATGGGATCTGTTTAAAAAAAAAAAACACAGAAAAAACGAGTCAGATTCATTGTTTTGATTAAAATTCAGGATCGTTCAAAGAGGTCAGGCTTCTTATTTTGCTTCATCTCAATGTTATGATCCATAGTTCTTCAGTTTTTATGTGTCACAGAAGCAGTGTCATTCTCCGTTCTAAACTTCGGAGTTGCCGCTACTTTTTTTTTTTCCTGCGCTCAGCTGTTATACAAATCCTATCTGTCCAAGAGGAAATCCTTAAAAAGTACTCGTCAGCACTGCCCATTGAGCAGAGAAGATTAGCTGTCGTCCGTCCACCTCTGATTTTTACGGCCTGCGAGGATACTGTACAACATTAAATAATGGTGTTAAAAGCCAACGTATTTGCCTCTCAATAAGGTTTACATAGGGACAAGATGTGTAAGGTAATATTCTCTTTTTAAGGTCAGTTCGAATTGTTTTTCCTCGTGGGATACGGCAGATTGATAAAGAGCAAACAAAACCTCTTTTCTGAATGCTTGTCCTCCACGGCCTCAATGAAGGTTTCATTCCTTTATATCATCCAGCCCAATTCCCAGCATGCACGGCCATTGTGGCTCTTTCAACTGGAGCTCTCCATTGACTGGCTCATTGTCCAGCTGCTCTTTTGTGCGCGCTATCACCGGAGCGCAATCTTTCACCTGAACGGCACAGGAGCGCAGAGTGGATGTGGTCATGTTAAAAAAAAATAAAAAAAACTATGTCACCCTCCTTGATGCCGGGGTGCCGAATTAACCCCAACACTGATGAGGGAATGTTTGGAAGTTGCCGTAATGCTTCTTAATTATGCTGTCATTAGGCCTGCTCGGGCTGCCTGTGTCACACAGAGCTGTTCGATACTACGGCTCCGGCTCATATTATTGAGAGGAGTGTTTTTTGAAATATAACAATGCATGAGCAGATGTTTGAAGAGTGGCCCTCGGCAGCACAAGGCTAGTTAAGATCGATATTGCTTTCAATATTTCTTTCCTTTGACAGATAACCAGAACTGAGGAAAGTCTTGATAAGAGTGGCAACATATGGATGCGGTGAGCCTGGCTCTCTTTTGATTGTGTGACCCGCTGACCCTTGCCTGTGTTTGAGAGCGAGGCAGCCACATGGTACGGTGGGGGTCTGTCAGGCTCTGGTTATGGGGCATTATTGACCCAGGATTTATAAATATTTAATGCACACATTAAGATCATGGTGGAGGGTGGCCATTAGAGTTCTCCAATAAAAGAGGCTCTCACGATGATTGAATGGTGTGGTAGAGCTAGTGGCTGTTTGTCGGGTACAGAGTAACCTGCTGAGACTTTATACTGTACCTTGAGCCTGCCCGCAAGGCTTCGGGACCCTTAAAACCCACAAAAATGAGCAAACTTGTCATTTTTTCAATTAAACTTTTTTCCCCTCGATTTCTTTTTTTTTTCCTTTTTACTCTGTGACTGTTTAGCTCAGTTGTTTGTTTTTTTTCCGCTCATCGCCGATCACACGGTTCGTGTAACATTTTCCTTTGAATGATAGAGACAGCAGCGGACCAGGCGATAGATCCAAACTTCTGTATCCGACAGAGATAGCGCAACACGAGGAAGCAGATGTGTGCCCATTGTTATCAGACACACTGGATTATCAGGGGAACGATTTGACGCACGAGGCAGCTGAAAATTAAATAGCTCTTTTCAGTGGATCTGTCCTTTGCGCTATCAGCAGGTCCCGGACTATCTCCTGCTCCGCGAGATCTGTGCATGCCTTCTCACATAATAAGCTGCGATATGCTGATTGCCGCTCAGGTTGCTGTCATTTAATTGTGCATTAAAGGCAGAGGTGGGCTCGGACAATGTTGCCTTGATGAGAAATTGACATTTTGTGACCCGCGCTTCATGAGCACTCAGGATACCAGATAAGACGCTCAGTTGTTTTTAAGGAGAACCACTGTTCTTCCCTCAAACACTTTTATCCTTCTGTTTGACCCACTTGATGAGTATAGATTTCACACTGGCCCCCCTTTCAGCACTCAAACTATGAGAGGTTCAAAACGATACAAGCCCTTATAGACAAAGGATAACCTTGCTTTTTCGATGTATTGATTCTTTATTAACTAGGTGGCTTAATGCAATGAAATGAGGGATTTGAATGAGCCCCATTTGGGGTGCTTTGAATAAAAAGCTTGCACTGTTTATGAATGACTACAATGAACCTTTGAAGCATCACAGATGCAGCATGTGCTCATACAAAGACCAGTAGGAATGTGTCACAATGTCAGAGTGCTTTGCTGAAAGAATATAAGTAAAGAGCAGTTTTCATCTTTTATGGATGTTACACTTTTCCACAGGTTTCAAACAGTTATCTCCATAGCAATTTCTAAACACTATATCTTACAGACGAATCACAAGTTTGTCCTCAGACGTGTCTACTGTCCTTTTCTAGTTCCTGATTGTCAGTTTGTCTGCCAGCCAAACTGTGCTTAAAACTGAAAAAGTCCACAGTTAAGGAGCTATTGTGTTTTTACTGAAAATTTTAATAAAACATCACTTATTCATTTCTGTTTCCATTCCAAATGTTGACATTTTTTAAATTTTCTTCCCTGTAAACACATGTAAGCTATGTGGCAGAGTCGTAAGTGGTGAGTAAAAATGACTTCTATACATTCTACAAAACAGAAAAAATACAACCACGAATGGAGTGTTTTTTTTTTATCTCCAGGGTTGTCCCTCATGCACATTAGTCTCTATTGGATCTTAACAACTATCATATGGGTCACAAACAATTTATTTGACAATACAACCAACAAAGTTTTCTCCAAAATGGTCTGTATAGATAATTTAAAATCAATATAAAAATAAACAATGAAGTTTGACTTCCCCTTTAAAAAAAAATGGACAGAGAGTCTTGACGGAGTAACACAAATTTTGAGGATACACATGAAATATATGCACATTGCATTTCATCAAATACAAAAAGAAAACAAATGAAGGCAACAGTTCTTGGCTGAATTATCTGTGCTGCATCACTATATTAGGGCATGACGATTAATACATACATAATGAAAAGCAATATACAAAATTTCAGAGATAAATACATTATTTATAGTTGATATGTTACAAAATTTCCCTCAGTGAGCGCAAGTGTGTATTTGAACAGAAATATGACTATGAATTACTATACTCCTACATTCTCAATGGATTTTAATTTTGTTTTTTTTAATGTTTTTTGTTGATCTAAAAGAACATGAAAAAGACAGATGTATAAATATTTAGCACAAGTTTGGCAATATCACAATAGTCTACAATTTTTAACCACATATAAAACACGTAAGGGAGTTGGAGCTAGAAGGGGGAGACTGCTCCTCATCAACAAGAAACAGACTTCACAGTAGCCTAGGAATGCATTAATATACAGTGCTAGCAAAAAAGTTGAAAAACATGGCAAAACACACTTGCTTAAAAGGAAGCTCTAGACGTGGAAGTACATCATATTCATCAACAGAGCAGTGTTTTGTACACATCAGTGTGCTTGTTGAATCAAAGAGTTTTTTTTTTTTACTTTTGAAGATGATTTCTAGCTACAATAAATTACAAAATTTAAGTTAAAATGCAGGAATGAAACATGATACAACATTGCCCGCCCGGACCCACCCCGTTTTACTCGTATTTGTTGTACTTTTATGATCGTTTTTCTACATTATATATCTCATATATTTTCCAGTTGAATTTCAAACTGTCTTGGCCCCTGTGTATTTTTCTCACACATAAAAATACAAAAAGTCACATTATAAAGACGCACAACTGTTGTGAATCTATTAAAAGAGAGTTGGAACAGAGAAAAAAAAAAAGGGAAAAAAGAAGATTTCTGAGGCAAACAAGTTCGTTGGAAAAATGTACTGTACATCCATGTTTCACTTTACAACCAGGTGGTGAATCCACAGTTCCTTCCAGTATTGAGCATGTGGCTGATCTGACATGTCCGAGACCGAAGCACAACCCGACAGGTATACAAAATAAACCCTTAATCATCTTGCGTCCTCTTCGGGGTGATAGAATGTGGAAGAAAAAAAAATAATAAGGAAAAAAATTCCACCGAAAGAATTATTGTTCCTCATGAAATCCTGTTTTTTTCTGAAGGTTGTGAGTCATTGAAAAGGGAAAAAAAAAATTGTCTTTCGATTTTTCTTTGTCTTTTAAAAACAGAACAAGCGGTAGACTATACATTACACCAGCGTTTTGCAGTGTGCTCAGGGAGTGTCCTGTGAAGTGGTAGTGTGTCGACTGGTGCTTTAGATGACAAAAGTGCATTTACATTGGAGGGACAACCAGGCCGGACATGGCTGGGAGATAAAAAGAGAGAAAGAAAACAGAGGTTAGTTTAGTTGGCTAAAACATGTTTGGATATAAATATGAATATTTTTGAAAAATTGTAATTTGAAGCATGCATGTTTGTGTATGTGCGTGTGTGTGTGTGTGTGTGTGTGTCAGTGCACGCTTGCGTGTGCCAGCCATCTGACAGTGCACAAATGCGTGAATGTATGCCTTTAATGTGCCTGTTTGCGTAAGTGCCTGTGAGTGTTTGCCGTGTCCGTCAGCCTGCTGCTGCACGTCCTCCTAAAGGAGGAGAGTTTGAAAACCTCCCTCCTGCTCTGACATTTCAGCCCCCAGCACGCCGTTCCTGCTATATGTGATATTTCTCCTGGCGTTGGGGTAATGGCAAACAGTGGCCCAGACTCCCGGGAGGCCTGGCCGTGGTGACGGAAAAGCAACAACACGGTCACTTCCCACAATGCCACAATGCTACACTACTAGACACTCCTCAGACTCCCCTCAGATTCATCTTGTCACTTCCTTTTTCTCCCCTCATCCCTTTATCCTCCACTCTCCAAAGCTGAGCAGCACATTAGTCCCGCATTTCCCCATTCCCCAAGTTGTGCCTTTGCGTCATTATCCAAAAGAGATTAGAAAAGATCAAAGGTAGCCTCTGTTATTTCAGCAAGACCATCTGCTTAGTATATCATTAGCAACTGTACCTCACCCTGAGAGTTTATATATTCCGTATTTTCACACGTTTTAACAATTAGGTGACTAGTGAAGTGCTGGGATGATATATTATTATATTGCTCTGAGTATATTTGTAGAGTCATGGTTGAAATGCTTTTAAGTTTGCCAGTGCAGATGATGGCAAGGCATTGCTCATTAATTTCTGCACAACATGTATTAATAAGTATGAACGTGTAGCAAGATGAACTTTAATTTCCCACTTCATTAAGCCCAATGTTATTAATCTTGGGGCACACACTACGGCTAAGCTTGTTTTCAAAGCAATCATGTTGGTCATGACACATGCACAAAACCTAATAAACATAATTACTAAAACAATTCTGGGAAGGTCTCTTCCTGCGACATAAAAGCGGATCATTTGTATGAAAGGCCAACAAGGATGTATGTTCGTGTGAATGTTTGCACAGACAGTAATGATCCTACACTTGCGTGCATCCGCGTGTGTGTTTGTGGTGTGTGAGGGCATGCTCTGCGAGTGTGTGTGTGTGTCAGTGTGTGTTTGAATGTAAACTGAAAGGTGTAAATTGGCCTGTCAAAATGCATATATTTGTAATGATTAATCCCTCACCAAACCGGACAGAGGCCTGAGCAGCGGTATCTGACCAGTAGTCCGTAGGGAAGGGATGAGGGGGTGAGGGGGGCTCACCTTGCAGTCCGTTGCCGTTGGCGCTGGTGCAGGAAGGGGGTGGGGAGGCCTGGGGTCGGACCACAGGGGCGAAGGCGCTCTTTTGTTTAACTGCGGACACGATAGGAAGGGAGAGGGAAGGAGGGAGGAAGGGAGGGAGAGGGTGAGAGCGTGCTGTGAGTAGTGCTCGAGAGGGAGAGGGCAGTTAAGGTAAGGTAGGGATAGTGTTACTGCCAGGGGGACACACGATCAGTACTCACAGGCTCCTACCGTCAACATCTTGCCCGGTTGAACAAATACAGGTAACGTACAGCGAAACACATCAGATATTTTCATTTTAGTCCGAGCCACATGTGTGTTCTCCAAAGTACTCAAACTAAACAAGCCCTCATGAATGAACAGCAAATATATTATCGCCATCAATAATATTCTCACCCCGTCAGAAATGATTCATAGGAGTGAAAACGAATGCGGGAGCTGGAATTAAATCAGCAGCAGCTTAGTGCTACTACAGCGTGCAAGAGTGGCAAGCTACTCACTTCCATATGGGGAGTTGGCAGAGGATCCATTGAGGAACCCAGGGGAGCTTGGCACTCCCAGGTTCATACCAGCGTTGCCGTAGCCATTCATGCTGTTGCTGACGGTGTTGTAGCTCGACTGCTGTGGGGTGCTGCTGGAGATGTAGCCCCGAGGGGAGACGCTGCTGGTGTTCCGGCTGTAGCCCACTGAATAACGGGGATGGAAGATGGAAAAGGTTGTTCATTCATTTCTTTCGCTCTACAGAAGCCGTATGTAAAAGTGCTCTGTGATTACAGTAAATGACAGTGGAAATTTAGTGGCGCAATCAAAGATTTTTATATCAGCGCTTACTGGAGGTGCTGCCGTTATAAGAAAGGTACCTCATTTGACCCTTTAACTGCCCCACCAGCACAGTGCCAGTGAATATAGCGTTTAAAAACATCCCTTTCTATAAATGTTCTGATTTGAATATATAAAAAAAAAGAGGGATATACTTGTCATCTTCCTGCAAATCCCTCAGAAACCCACTAAGGACCACCTGTAATGCTCCTACATCCCACTTTTGAGAACCTCTGAGTTATGGAGCATCCCTGAAATCACACACCTTGGTCGTTCCCTTGTGACTCAGACACATTGACTGCTAGTTGGCTGCTGAAGGAGTTGACTCCCATCATGCCGTGGGAGGCTGTGTTAGCGAGAGAGGGGATCTGGTTGTGGTTGCGGGGAACGCTGTACAGGGCCTCTGCAATGTCAGCTGCCCGCTTCAGAATGATCTCCTGAGAACCAAAGAAAAAGCAGAATTTTTACAAATTATTTTGTGAATTTATCAACACGTTTTTTATTTTATTAATTTATTTTTTACAATGTTAAAGTCATTTTGTGGGAAAAATGGTTCACAGAAGCAGTTAACTTGCAATACAAGAAGTCCACTTTGTTCCAATTAAAGTGGTCAAAATACTCTTTTTTTTTCATTTATTTATTTATTTATTTTTATTTAGCTGGCATAAAAAAAAGCTTCAGGGTAGAAACAGACCTGGTTGTTGTGGGGCATTCCGTACAGGGCTTCAACAAGATCAGCTGCCCTCTTCAGTAACACCTCCTGATGAAGAAAACAGAGAGCAGAAACATTAGGACCCAAAAAATAGAACCTACAAACAATACCAAGAAAGGCATGGCTCTTGAGGGTTGCAGAGCTATTTAAAGACGTTTAAATAAATAAAAACCACCTAAGTTTTATAAGCTGCATTTACACTCCACTACTATTTTGTTAATTCCAACCATGCAGAGCAGTGAATAATGTTCCCTATCTTAATTAAACTGGCATAGTCCGTTAAAAACAACACCTCACCCCTGATTCTGGGCTTCACGTTTGCTCTGGAGTTCAGTGCCGAGTCCCCTCTCCTCAGAACAATAAAGTGAATTAGCTCTGGGTTAATCTAGTTCTGTTGTAATGACATTAAGGAATTTTTCAATTAACCTCTTTGACTGGCTGTTGCAAAGGACTTCACAAATGACTTCCCATCCAGCAAGAGCTGGGTGCTTTTGCCTTGGGGACACGGATGCTCAGGATGTGGTCTTATCCATGTCTGCATGCTTGCCCCCGCTTGACAATGCGGATTAGCTGTGTTGCTTTGGCTCTTAACACTGAAAATGAGTTGGCCCTGGATCCTGTTCCCCCCACTCTGTTTTGGGCTTTGAGCTAGGTGGGGTTTGGCCCGTCTGTGTGTCTTTATCGGCTCTTTGAATTCGGCACTTACAATTAAATCCCTCTCAAGAAACCAGACTGCTCTCTTTGTTTTTTTCATAATACAGAAGGCAGTGTGCTGCTCTATGAAAACCTTCTCCTCCTTTTAGAGTGCATTTAATCTGACAAAGGCAAGTTGCAGACATGGCTCTTGCTTGTGTTTTTAAAATGCTCTCTTGTTGTCACCTGCTGTAGAGCAGAGATTTGTCGACTGTGCTGTTAGAACCCTGGTTAAAAGCAATGCAAATCTGTCACCAGAAACATATCAGATGGTGCTTGTTTTCTTCCCACATTCGCTGTGTTTTCTTTTGCAGGCCTCAGTAATTTGTCTGAAGTGTTCCATCACTTGGCAATAGCAGTGTGGGATTAAGACGGCAGCTGCCGTAAATGAATGTAAACACAGCCTTCGCGCCTTCAAACAGCGGCCTCCAAGACTTGGCCTGCATTTCCAAGGCACGGCGTATGTAGTGTGTACCGAGTGTGTGTATGGGCCCTTTCATCCTGAGGAGCATATCTAGCACAGTCCTTGATTTATCAAGATGAATCACTGTAGAAGCCACTTGCAGCGTATGCCATGCTCTCTTATAGAAACATATCGCTTAATCCACCCCAAGTTACCGGATGGGTGGCTCTTAGAATGGGCATTTACCTCTGAAATTGGTGTGTATGCTCAACGTTGCATGCATCTAGTTTGCATACAAATAAAGAATTATGGTTGTCGTGAAGCAGGTAGACTAAATGAGAGGACCAGCTGTCTTGATGTGTTCTCATCAGGCAGAACAGATTTCTCTCTCTCTTGCTGAGTGAGATAAAGTGGTTTCCTTTCTTTTTGTCTGCAGTTAATAATTACCAATAATCTATTCTATCATATTTCAAGATCTCCTACATGGCTCTCAATTTTAAACAACAATTAAAGCAATTAAGACTGTCGCGTTTGCAAGCCATGTTTCATTCTGTGTAAAATGTCCTCTCCCTCCTTGTCCATATGGTACTTTGCAGCAGTGACATAAGGACAGCTTGGAAAAAGGAGGAGAGAAAACGATATTGCCTCTCATCCTTAATCTGTCGTTTACCGCGTGGTGTCTTAACTAACCAAGCTGACTCGCAGGGCTATGCTTAAGTGGCAACCTAGTCATATCCGCGGATGATGAGAAGTGCTGCACCCAATCAAGGAAGAAGTTTGTTTTCTTCTGACGAAACGCCCTCATGCGCATCAGCTCACGCTGTGAATACGATTAGCACGGAATAGCGTTCTGAGGGCATTTCCATGTAAATCTCAATACTGCTCCGGCATAAGTGTAATTGGCTTTCTTGTCATGGACACATATCAGAACACACCATGTTAAATTGAAACAATTAAAGGCTTCAAATGATTTCTGTTGCGCTGTGACAAATGCGTGACTGATTTGTACTATTGTTTGCAAGGTTTTGCATAAAAGTCTTGTGCTCCACAGCTGTTTGAATGGAGCGGTTCAGATGACAGATCACCTAAGATTTAGAAGCTGCTTTGTGGTATTGCAGAAGGAAGAAAAAAAAAAAGAGAGGAAGCCATAGCAAATTATGTGTTATAAGAAATATCTAACAATAAGGAGATGTGGCCCAAATGTGATTTTTCAAGCACTAGATTAACATGAATGTTGTATTTATATTATCACAGTTAATAAAAGAGGGCCTAGGTTATGTAGCTTGGAGTGCTAATGCCATTATAAAACTGTAAGGCAATTACTCTGTTAGCTCTAGCCTGAGGTAATGAATGCATTTAGAAGCATAGGGCCATTAGATGAAGGTACTTCAAAGAGCACAGGAAGAGAGATTCATTTAAATACATGGGTAATTGCTTGACATGAACACATTTGTAATATTTTCTCCTTGTGGATTACACAAAGAATTGGAAAAGAATGGGCTTATGCTCATTTTGGGGGGAAAGAAAAGAATCCAAAGCAATCAGCTTAATAATAAAACAATATTGAGTTTCCACTTTTAATTTCATAATGAATCTAATTTGTTACAGAAGAGAGAAATTGAGTGTGATATAATGTGATATCCAGTCTATTTGTCCATTACTGCCAGAGGGCACAAAATGGTATTATAAATTGTCTTTTTTATATTATGAATAGAAAATTGTTTTATAACAAGATCTTAAAAAGGAGGGTGAATTCCAAAGTCTCTCTTCACTTAACGTGATGCCCGCAAACCAATCTCCTTTCTCATCACTTGACTGCTCACACTTATTACTTTCATATTCACCCTGGACTTTGCATTGAATTTTTATATCTCCACTCCTCCCACAGGGTCAGACTGTCATCTGCGATGTTGTCTTAGAATTACGAGGTAAACTTCAATCAGAGGCAGCTTCCCCCCTTTTTTCTCTGTGTAGCAACAATATTAGCGTGCATCCCTTGCTATCCATGAGCACTCCCATATTGGCTTTCTGTCTCCTTACAATTACCACGTGTCTTACTGGTCCCAGGGAGAAGGCTGGTGGAAATCAATAGCGCAGTAATATTATCAACTGGAGGGTGAAGTCATGGGAGGGAGGGGGGCATCGAGGCGGTGAGTGGGCTTGGTGTCGATTTGCCTTTCTGCTAATGCACACCGCACGTCCTCCAGCTTTATCTTCTTTTTATAGAGTCTCCCTACCTCACCTGCACCCTGTAATGGCTGTTCTCTATATGCCGTTTCTGTTCTCATTGCAAATGTACATGCCAGCCCCGGCCCGCCGCAGGCTGTTTTATTGGGAATGTGCTTTTGACCCCAAGAGCTGACCCTCAGATGGCAAGCTTAACAATGACGAATCACTTGGTGGGATCATTTACATGCCCCCTGAACCCCATATTTGGGTCCATTAGAGAGCAAATCAAATATTTATGTTGTTTATTGGAAGTGCAGGGTTTCATCTCACTCTGTGATTGTTTCATGCAAAGGCTCGGAGACCGTGCTATATTAAGTATACGCTCACCCAGGAAACTAATCTTGGGCTCAGTGTCAAAATCTGTCTCACAACCTGCATTGCTTTATATTCAAGGAAAGGGGTAAGGTTTCTTTGTAATAACACTGTGTTTGCATCCTGTCTCTCTTTGTAGCAAAGACATGGATTTTGTCTGGATGTTGTGTGACTATAAAAAAAAAAAATACTGTAGCTAGAGTGGTGAAGATAGAAAAAATCATGTGGATATTGAAGCTAAGTTTACGTTACCGCCTGGTCAACGTTTACACCTTAAATTAGAGTAATATTTCACGTGTAGGTGTAGCTTCTTGTCTCCACAGGGACTGGATCTAATTGAAACACTTCATATACTGAACCAGAGACTAGCTGTGATGTTCCATTTCTAAACGTTGCTTTGGTCAAACATCTATAGCAACCACACAGTCTGTTCTTTATTAAATTGTCCGCTGGACATTAATGATATTGCTGTGTTGCATGCTGGGATTTAATAGATAAGGTCTTTAAAGGTTTTACAGTATTATAAAAACTCTGAGGTGGCCTCCACATTACTACATGCCGAGAGGTTTTCGATTGACTAATCAGTTATATTATTACACTTGACACATCTGGAACATCAGTCATCAAAATGGTTACTGGCAGGGTGGCAATTAGAGAAAACACACAAATGGATTTTATCAATTGGAAATAAAAAGAGTGAAATAATCAAAGGGCAGGAAAAGAATAAAAGAATCAAAGAGATTCTGTTTGGGGGGTGGGAAGAGGCGTGAGGTAGGGGGTTGAAAACAAAGAAAATGTATTATGCACTTTAGTTTTCATGTTCGGGTCCTTAACTATGGCAGCCTATTTATGTGCCATGCCAGCGTGTCTAAAAACTGATGTGCCTTTCAACTTCTTCACCCGTGCTCAAAAGAAAACAATAAGAAAGCCAAAGCATAATAACATGCAGTCTTTGTCTATTAGCCGCAGTAAAACTAGGGGGTTTACGGCACAGGGTTCTGTAAACAAAAGATTAAACCAAATCGAGCTGCAGAAAATGAAAGGAAAACATGAGTGGGGTAATGAGGGTGCAGGCGTCGTTTCTGACCAGATTACCATCTCCACAGACTACTGGAGAGGAAAACGCCTGATTGAGCTATTTTACCACACAGAGAGTTTACGCTTCTCCCCACACACAAAACCAATACCATTACCACTCTGGTTAGAGGCTACGCCACATATGTGAAGTAAAGCTGTTAGCGCTTAGAGTCGCAATGCTCTGCACTGGTGGTCATATTTTGTTTATGTGCTGCATTTATTCATTAAGAAAGTATTAAGACATTCAAATCCAGACAGCTCTGTGTCATTTCTGCGCAGACTTTTCTCCACAGCTAAAACCTCTGTACTGACCTTTGGTAACCTCTCAGGATCGCCGGGGTGTCTGGGAATGACCTTCTGCAGCCTCTGGAAACCATAGTCGATGGTGGGCTCATTCAGGGCTGGAAGATAGTCAGGGTAGATGAAAATTAAAATCTTTTTAAGGCTTATTTTTTTGCAACCGATAGGAAGAAACTAATTGGGAAATCTAATAGAGTTTACAGTACAAAAGTCATTTCAGAATGCCTATTTTTGACGAATCCTCAGGGGCGATACAATGTTTTATGAAACATCAACGAATCTGGAGGGGGAGAGCAAGCGATGGAAAATGATACAGGTTCATCTGACACTTGTGTCACCAAGTGCTATTCCATTAACAGCCATGATGACCTACATCAGTCTGAGGATCCTTCAGAGGGACCCTCCCCCTTTTTATCTGCTTGAGAATATTGACTACAGCAAACTACATAGCGGGGGTCTTTTAATCTAACAGAGCTTTAATAATCTGTGAAAGGGTGTCCACACATTGATCTAGTGTAAGTTGCTGTCATTTCACCCTTCTGCACCAACTGTACTGCAACACTGGGCCTGTGAAATACGGCAGCAGATCCCATGGAGCCATTAATCTCTCCCACCCCTCAAATAGTAATCTGGGGCATGAGCCATATTGGGCGATGAATCAGAGGCACAAAGTAAATGAATCATAACCTAGACTTTGGTGAGAGCCAGGCGTTTTATGTCTGACAGTCCTAATGGGTAATTGAAGGTTTCCTTACAGCTCCGCCTGATTCTAAACAATCATGTGTACACTCACAGAGAAGAGGGCGATGCAAGGGAGGGCAGAGGAGGGGAGGAGGGGAAGAAAACAAGGAAAAAGCAGCGGAAAAGGGGAAGGAACGACTTAATAGAGAACATCACTTCTCAATGTAGATATCATTTTCAGGAGAGTAACTCCACTGAGCAAGGCGCTTCATAAATCAATGGCTTTCTATGGAGACTAATAAGAGCTGCCTGCCTCTATTCATTGTTCAGCCTGTAATTTGGCCCATCACTCATTACTCAGCATGTAATTTCAGCATTAACACCGCACAGCTCGCTGAACCTGCTGAACACCAGAGAATGTGAAAGCAAACGATTGCTACCCCCAACAATCACACACACACACACACACACACATACGCACACCCATTCACTCGCAAGCAGGCCCGCTGACACGCGAATCCAAGAAAAGAAAAAAAAACATGTTTCTTGTTTTATTTTCGCCCCATCTCATCTTACTACGCATTCTTCGAGCACAACCCACTGACAGACATAAATACTGTACCTGCTCACAGTAGCACAAGCAATCGAACACGATGCACCACTTGTGCTAAAACCTGAATACAGTAATTGCCAGCTCGACCGTGATCAAATGGAGCAATTATGTGTTCAGGCATGGACAATGCGGGATGCTAATCGATAGCAAGGATCTACCTCACAGATACAGTCAATCCTGTACACAAGGCACACCTGAATAAACCCACACCACGACACACACTCCGGGAAATCTGATTTGACATGTCATCATGTGTCCTGAGACGACAAATGTCTTCTTTGGATTCCGAGGGAAAGCCATCCTCTCCTTAATAATGGATTGATCTGCCATATTGATCGTACATGACAAGTCTGCAGCAAGGAATTTGCCCCCTTTTCTTGTGTTATTTCCACTCCCCTTTTTTTTATCTATGCACTGTGGCAGCCCCATACATGTGTTTATATCTATATGAGTGTGTATGAGTGCACGGGCCTGGCTGGATGAGTGTATGTGCACGGCAGCCCTGCCAGACCCCGCTGCTCAGTGTGATGTAAATTGTGTATGTGTAAAAAGCACTCCATAATCAGGCCATCCATCATCAGAGGCTGTCAGTGGGCTCTCTCAGGGTGATATATCACGCTCTCCTGTCCTCTGCCTCAGCTGGGGCCTATACAACCCGCCAGGCATGCTGGGAACACAGCCGGAAAGACGTACAGTAAGGCGTGAGGTATAAGTTGGGTCAGGTGTGCTGCTTGACACACCTTTGCAATGATAATTATGCCCCACTGTAAATGCTGACCTCAGAATTATCATGAATGTGATTTAAAGGGTATCCACGGTAAAGTTTCAACTGGGAACGGGGCTTCATTAACTGCTCGGACAGATTGCTCAATGCCCCGATTGGTAGGAATTTAGATATGTCAAGGGAAGAAAAAAATGTATCTTCAAACTGGACTTGGCGGCGCTTTTGCGATTGCTGTCCGAGCACCAGGCATGATCTCCACATGTCTACATGTCGCTATCTCATCTATCATGGAGATGATCTTTGTAACAACCCCGGCGTAATGAAATTGGTGACACAGACTGCCATCTGCTATTGATTTCATGCAAATGCTTTTGACAGCTGATGGAGACTTGCATTAGTGCTAAACGGTGCTGTCAGTTGATGAGTTGACAGTTTTGTAGTCATAGCATGTACACTGGTGCAGACAGACACAGACAATGTCAATAATCCTGTAAGAGCTGCTGATGATATATACTGAGCACTTATATTCAATCTGGGCATTAAGTATGTTATGTGTGCAGTCATTGTGCAGCTCCACACATTTTTTCTCCTTCGCAAAGATTTTCTTTCATCTGCGGAGCTTCGACAAGAATCATTGAGACTACCACTCTTACTTTTTCCTGCGGAGCACAGACTGACAACAGCCTTTTTGCACTTTTACCTCCCTCACCTCAAGGTCTCTTTGCAATCCGTGACACATTATTATGTATCAAACTCTCACTCATGATCCTGGCTCTCATAAAGGAGCAAATCTAGCTCTGTGTTGCTCTCGCTTGATGCCGTGCATGCCAAAATTAGTTTGCTCCTCCATGTCCTTCCAAAGACCAAGGAGACTGAAAAGAGAAAGAGGTTGATGGGGGGGGGGGGGTGAAAGTTGTGTAGAAAGTATGTTTCTCGCCATCCTTTCTCCTCCTGTAAGGTTTCGCGGTCTCTTGTATGAAACGTGAAACCTTCCATACACGTCCCATAAATCCTGCACAGGGTGGGGAGTCTAGGCAAGGGGAGGAGAGACTAAGCGATCTGGTGTAGGTATGATAGGGGAGGATGGGGATGGAGGGGGGTCGCTGGCACGTTCCAGTCACGCCCGCTTCCCGGCCCGCGGCCAATCAATACCACTTTCCTGTTTTAGAGGCGGGTAATTATGAGGTGGAGAGATTGTGTGACCTCTCACCCTTGCTGCATTACTCGCCTGATATTAAGATAAATTGCCTGATTTTGGGTAAACATATGCTGCAATTCAAACTGTCAGCACTGGTTTGCTCAGGGATAATTTGTATTGATCTCCTGGCTTCTTCCCCATTTTGCTTACTGACCTCATGGATAATTAGAGAAAAAGAGACACGGGGAGGAAAAGCAGGGCTTGCATTTGAATACTTTGCAGGGAGAGATGAAGAGCACATGGAAGGGGGGCAGAGGGAACATTAGACGCTAATAGAATTTTCATTTTTTTCTCATTTTCCGCTCAGATTTCGACAGGTTACATGTTTTGTTCAATTACATCACTTACATCTTATTTCCCAGCTTGTGTTGGAGAGGCCTCGTAGCTTAATTCCTGAGATGATGCAAATTTTTCAAACGTGGTGTGACAGCAAAATGTTTCAAATTAAACAGCTGATAACTAAATAATTATTGCCACATCTGAGTAAAATTAACATGACAAGTGGCAAAAGCTCGGAGTTACTGAGGCACATGCTTCTTCTCTGCAAAGGTTTAGAAGAGCATTTGTATGAATGTTTCAGTAATTCTCTCCAGAGAGTGAATGATCATGTTTCAGAATATGAAGAAATGGAATGCATGACGCGGTGTGCAGCTGTGACCGTATCATTTCCTTATTTTTTTTATTTTTTTCCTTTTTGATTATCCCGCATGCACACAGGCATCCGTGGCAGGCCTTCAGTTAAATTCCTATGGCCGGAATGTGCACTTCCCAATCTTATTTTGATCTGACGCCTCAATCTGCCATCCTTTCATGGCGCTAACACATTTTCTATGAGAGCTCAGTCCTTCCACTTCACTCAAAATGTAGAGTAGATGGAGTGTACATGGCATCTGAGTGGGGTCCGCTGCTCCTTCTCCATGTTCTCTAGAAATAGGACATGAGTAACCGCTCTGCAGGAACAGTGTAACATGGCCGATGCTGGCAGTCAGAAGTGCTTACACGGCAATACAGCACAGTGTGCCCTCGGTCTATATGAAAGTGGATTGAACACATGTATTGACTTACAGTATCAGGGTATAAACATAGGGAAATGTTTGAGCAAAGCAGTAAATTCAAGGGAAATTGTTCCTTGTTAAGTCTACGAGCCTGAATGGGAGCTTGCACAGAGTACTAGCATTCCTGCCAGCCATTACAGCTTATTACGATAACTCTATCTTTCCAGGAGATAAAAACCTAGCCTTGTTGCCATTTGCCAGCTATTACTTTCGCTAATTATACTTAACTGCTTCGAGCTTATCTCCACTCCTCCTACACCATTGAGCAGTTATTTTTTTCTTTCCCCTTAACAGAAATTAGAGGTGGAGTGGGAGTTGGAAAAGGGGGGAGACAGATAAACAGCACAGACAGAAGTTCATTCAAGTGTTATTGCATTTGTGACTTGTCAAAAAGCTGAAGCCTTCGAGGCACCTGCAGTCTGTTCGGTAGGCGCAGTTCACAGCAGCATCAGCGGACATAATGACCTATTCACGAGTCTAGAGGAGACGGGAAAAGAGGGAATGTCTGCTCGGTGATACTAAAAAGACTTAAAATTGAATGGTGTGCGGAGAAGGAAATCAAATACATCAGAAAACAACCTGCTGCTCCTAAGGATAGATATGATCCAGTGTTAAGAGATGAAACATGCATGCAGATGTACAGACTCTCTTCTAAACCAATCCAAACCAAACCAAGGAAAATTAGAATTTTCACAGCAAACCCACGCAAGGCAAACCTCATCTGTTTTAACACTGACCATATCATCTCCATCCACTGCAGCCAGTTACCACTCAGTGATTCCATCTCCAGCAGTCTCAAGATGAACAGGAAATTAAAATTTCAAAGATCTGCAGTTAAGATAAATCAATAGAGACAGATCAATGTTCATTGAAATTTCATGAACTTTGAGCCAATACAGATGAAAAAAAGCGAGACAGTTACAGTCTTCAGCAGATATTGCTCCTGCAACAGATAAAATGTAATTAACACTGTTAAAAGGGAGCAATGTTACAGATTGCACATCCATAATTTCTGGCTCCCTTCATATTGGTAGTATTATTAGAAAGGGCCGAAGACACCTGTTCAATCCTCTTAGATGACATCTAAAGTATGTGTGCCACTTCTCTAAGGACGTCGGCGGACTTTCACACATTACCGGCCAACAGAAATCAAATAGGTTCCCTTCACAGCTGATTGCAAGCGCAAATTAATATTGTAAAATGAAGATCAATACATGGACGGGGCACAGATCGATGACGGCTAAATTACGGCCGCATTTTCCCCCTCATTCAAGATGAGTTGTGTTTTCCTCTCAAAGTCAATACTGCGCTGCCTCCCTCATTCATTTCTCAATAAACTTGCCGATGAATTTCAATCAAAATGCGGCTCTGGAGGGGGTTGGGGACTGGAGTTCTTTTAAAGCCCGTCGGGTGTGGATCATGCTGAAAATGGGGCAAAAAGAGGAGGAAGAAAACGGAGGAGGAGGGGAAAGAGCCTCGTCTATCAAGGGCCCCCCTCTGCTGTATGTCTTTGCGGTGGTACAAAACTGATGCTGCGACTCAGTGAGGACAATCCATGTAAGGAGCCTCAGCTAAACAGTTTTCTAACAATAGAGTTGGACAAATAGTTGGTCCAATTAAAATCCAATCAATGAATGCTATCTTTACTGGGAGAAAAGAAAAACACATACCCATAGTTTCATTTTTCTTTTGAACGATAACCACAATACATTTCACAGAGAGATGTAATGGGAAAAATGCATGCTGACCCGCAAGTGCTTATTTCAATCAATTTCCTGGAGCTGGATTTCACAGGTCACTTGCTGATAACACGCTGTGGAATAATGCCACAGTGTGCCTCTCAAAGCCTACCTGACAAGCTGCCTGACAGTGGGGGAGTGCGAGCACGTGTCACGTCAGCCCTCTAATTGGACACAAGGACCTTCCTCTGTGGAACCTTGTCGCGATGCACACGAGCTCACAAGGCCTTCAAACCAGGCCCATCTAACTTGGCAAAGAGCGTATGCTTCACTCCCGTGGAGCTAGTGCTAAATACCAGTGTTGTAATGAGACAGGCAGGAATGGGGATATGGCTGGTGGATAACATGCTTTGACACATGCTAAAACTGTTGTGCCAACTGGTTACAGCCCACTTGACTGTGGCGATGACATTTATAAATGCCTTATGTCATCCTTCCTCATTGCGGTATTTTACAATTTGTGGAGATTTTCCAAAACGCGGTAAAAAGCGGATGTAAAGATTGTATGCTCAAGTATGAAGTATTTGTACGGTCTCTTCAGAAGCTGATCTGTTTACATAGTTTCTTGAATGCCTTTGATTATAGCATATCTTTGCTGTTGGCCACACCCCATCAGTGACCAGTGACCAGAGAAGGATCAAGCCCAACCCTGCAGGACAGGAAATGTAAAGGAAGCTCTCCATCTGATCAGCTTGTAAGTCTGGAACTTCAAAGTGACGGCAGGGCGTAGAGGAGACGCAAGGATAGGCCCAATTCGGCAGTTGGACAGCACAGACCCTATCTAATGTGCTCTGATAAAGAAGTCTCTGGTTGTTTATTTAATTTTTGGTGAGGAGAGGAGGTTTCAAAACTACGTACAATTTGGTTCTGACTCTGGAGCTGAAAGGGGATTTTATTTTAGGATTTTAATACTGGATTTTGCTTTTTGTACAACTGACAAAAAGCGTTTCCTGTAAAGTTTGTGTGTAGATTTATTGTGCAATCATTAAGATGGATTTTTTTTCAACACTTGAAAAAGAGTAATTTTTAAGTTAAATTATATCTATAAAGGGACTTTCCCTGTGCACTATCAACATCTTCTTTTTCAATCTCTTAAGGTGTTGACATTTCTTGATCTCCACCAGTATTGAGTGAAGCACACATGACCCCTTTGTCCTTATGTTGATGAATGACTGCCTCATACCCATTTTGTCAGATTTTGGTGCAGTGGAGTCGATAGCGTCACCTTGACAAGAAAACTTTGTGATCCATCAGCCCTCAAGGCTGTCTGGCCACAACTAAGGCCTGGCAAGAGCAGCTCTCTGTATGGGGGCATCTGCTTCGTCCAAAATCCTTCACCCTGTATGCTGCAGTCTTGTGAGGTCGAGTGAATGGCTCTTATTACTGCCACTTTACAGTGAAGAGAAGAAAAAAAAAAAACGCTTGACTTGTACTAATAGCTGGGAAGCCATGCTGGTCACCAAAGGTCTGAAGACGAAGCACCCTGTCAGTGCCCAGCTTGGGAAATTAGCAAATAATGTTCCCTTCCCCCTGACAAATGTGTGACAGCTCGCCTTCGCCAATCATTCTCTCCTAACGTTATGATGCATGTCCTGGATCCCCACTGGAGGATACAGGCGAAGTTTACTGACCCTCAATTTACCCATGACAAATGGGGTCCCGGTAAATGTGCGTTTTCTGGGGCGCGGAAGGGGTTCATTTTAAGCAATCCTGGTTATGTGGATGTCACTGATTAGGATAAATAGTGGCTGAGTGTGTTAGGACTGCTTGCAGAACCATATTACCAGGGGCCTGCATCGTTGCCCCTGGAGGGGAGCTCTCATGGAAACTTGGCCAAGATAGAAAACCAAAAGCTATGATGCAATTAGGAGCCTAAATTGGATGAATTGTATGGTCAAGTTTTTATTTATGATTTACTCTTTCATACTGCTCTGTAACTATGCAGTAAAAAGGTTAGGAGGCGGTAAATGAGGCTGAAAATTGAGACTTTCTGTTTAAGATATTCGATTAAACCGGCTTGTGCTATTTTCAGCTTAATAAACTGTAAAGTATTGTAAAATATTGACTCAGGTTCAGCTACAACTTTCTCCTTTTGATTTCCTACAACCTTGCTGACAGTCGGTTCTTTCAGTCTTGTCCTGACCAATTGATAACCAATACATGGATTATACAGAGGACAAGTGTGCTCCAAGGGACAGTGCTGTGCTGGAAGGTAAATACTATTAAATTGCGAAAATAGCCAACTTCCAATTTCTTTAAAATATGTGTCACATAAGGAACATATGTAAGCTCCCTGAAGCAGTCAGTCTGACACAGCCTTCTAAAGTTTTATACAGTCTGTCTGTTTGTCTCATTAGTGCTTTAAACATTCAATAGTCAATGCCAACAGGATTATTTGACATCTACTACAGGGTGCTCTCTTTCTGAGAATGGATTGTGAGTTTTGGAGCCGTTCCAGGGTGCTAACCCGAGTGAGTACGTGTCTCTCTGCTGTTGGAATTGACTGCAGTCTTCTCTGTGTTGACTCTTGGTAATTTGTGATAATTTCTTAAATTGACCAAGTTAAATTTCAACAATTAGAGTGGTAGTGCAAGAAGAGTCAACATTGGGGGAAAAAGGCCAAAAAGTCACTCCGTTTAGACAGCGCACTGTGGTCACGCTTGAAGCCATATGCTTTGATAACTAGACCTTAATATGCGCGCGGTGCTCTACAGTATGGCACGGGAAGATTATACGCCTTTTTGACAGCACTGTGTCACTACATGCCCTTTTAAGCTCATATAACGTGCTATTGCAACTCCAGGTCATTTGAAGTCTATTTCTGCATGTAGGGCCATTTGTTCAAGTGCTCTGTCAGGGAAAGAAAAGCTATGGTTTCAAATGATCTCTTTCATTTTTAAATACATGAGCCACAACCGAGCACTCAATGCTTTAGCCAATTGACGCTTTAATGTCTTGGAGAAAAACGCTAACACCCTTTCACCTAGCAATTACTGTACATATGGAAGCGGGGATACCTAATTCTACCATTATGCATTCTGCTCTCTTTAACAGTGTCATTCTCTCAAGCATCACCCCTCAAACAATCAGGGTGAGCCTCAGAGGGAATAGCAGAGCGGAGGACCTGGACTTGTCTATTGGTGACTTTCTCTTTTAATTCACCACACTAATCAATTGTACCACCATTGCCTCCAGGGGTAATTGTATCTTTATACTAACTGGAAGTGAGAAGGAACAGGGGAAGACAGAGAGGAAGAATGGGGGAGAAAAATCAACAAGGATAGAGAGAACAGGACACGTTTCCCCAGTAAAACCTGATGGTAATCATCCCAATCCGCTTAGCCTCTGTGACTAATGGGGTCTGTTCTTAAGGGACCTGGCACTTTCACTAGGGTGCTATAGAAGCCATTAATGTCTTAACTTATACACCTTCACGGGGCTGTGCTGTAACACGTGGAGACACACACACTCTTACACAAACAGACACGCATACGCTTACACAGCCACACTACACTTCTGTTTCATTATCCCGGTGCCTCGTTGGCCTCTGCTCTGCTCCTGCTAGGGAGGTTAAATGCAGGAAAGCTGGGCCAGACTGCATGGATGGAGGAGAAGGGGGCAGAGGGCTGGGGGTGGTAGGAGTGCAGCTTTTTGGGAGTGGGAGAGGGGAGACTTGATGAGAAACAGCTGCCCCAGGATGGAGGGGTCTGGTTGGGGATTTTGGGTTGGGGGGCGCTCCGCCGGCACAGCCCTGGCCTTGAGTACAGCAGGGCCGGGGCTGTGCTGGAGGCATTGAGGTCGTGGGGGGGGGGGGGAGAGGGTCTTCTGACGCGCCCCCATTTCATTCTGCCCATCAGAGTTGGAACAGACATAGGCTTCCAGGTCAGACAGGCTCTGACCCCTTGCAACTTCTGTCTACTCACCAATGATGACAGATAAGGCCACCACTTCCTTCTGTTAGCCAAGATAATCAGATCTTTTCACTCAGATTGTGACACACTCTCCCTTTCTTTCTCACACGCTCATATCTCTCAAGTCTTTCCATAGTTTTGCTCCTATGATTCCATGTTTCTCAAACATAGTAATGAGCTTTTATAGAGAAAAATGCTATTTTTTGTAATAAAATTTTATTAAGTTTACCGAAAGAGTCATGTGTTTCCCTGAAGAACAAAAGAAGAGAAGAAGTTTCCCTGACAGTATAAGTTTAATAGAAGAGAGACGAGAACAAAAGAAGTCTCTAGAAAGAAAAACAGCGACAGGAAAAAGATGGTTTTGACTCACCAGTGTATACAAATCTCCCAGGGGCACCTTTGCAAAACTGCTTGGACTTGTAGGACAGCGTGACTTCCACAACACCAGGGATATGCCGAGGTGGAGTCTGGACGCGGATGGCGTGGGGAGTTATCAGCTGGGTAACAGGGAAAAAGAACATAAATAATCAACCCTCAGCAAAAACAAGCATCACCGTGTTTAGATTTAAAATTCACTTGACGTAGTGGGACTTAACTTTTGTCATAAATAAGAAGATGTAAAAAATCTTACCTCACTCCATACGAGCATAGTGCCGAACACAACTTGTAGGCCGTCAAAGAAGTTGTCTCCAATGATGATGACAGTGGCTCCTCCAGTGGTCCATCCCTCACTTGGGCTGATAGCCTTGATGCATGGGGTGGCTGCTTATCCAAGACAAAGAGAAGAGCAAATTCAGCACCTACACTTTACCACTCGTAGCACGTCTTTTTCCACTCAAACACATTTCTTCATCACCTCTACGTTCAGCGCCTGCATGTCTCTTTCACAAAGACATATCATGGAAATTGCCCCCGGAAAGGGGAAAAAAAAAATGATGGATTTGTCCTTTAAGGCATGAGAATCAAAATCATTTATCAGCGCGCTGGAGTGGTGTAGTTAAGCAGACCCTTCAAATGGTCCACTTCACAAAGGCTAAACGCCAGGCTCACCAGGAAAATGATTTGATGGAGCAAATTATGTGTCAGGGCAAATGTAGCTATCAGAATTGATTAAGCATGCATCAGCATGTACAGTAGAATTTCAAAGTTGAACACATCTTAAATGAGTCAAGAACACAAGCTGTTATAGTGGAAATGACAAGCTAAAGCTTTGCTGCTTCATGTTATTTCATTACCTTTGTTCTGCAATATAGGACTGACACACTTAGTGGAGTTTCAGGTTTCATAACATGAGATGCGCTTATGAATTATTCAGATTGAGTTTTTTTCCCCGTTTTTTGTGATCGATTCAATCCATTTCATATTGTTTATTACAATGCTTTTCATCTGGCATGACTTCTGCTATGTAGCTCAGCCATTCATCAACAGTCTGGGTTGTTATTATAATCTAATTTGAGTGATCTTGTGCCTCACATTCACTGTCACTTGATGCATTACCTTAATATGGTGTTCAGCACAACACCGTGTTTACAACAGAAACAGCATGACAGCCAACCATAAAACAGCAATATCAAATTTAATCTTTTTCCATCAATATATTTTAATACCATATGAATTGTACAGGTTTTCCCTAGTCCTAGAAATGTGTGCAACTATTCCAGCAAGTTTTTTTTTTCTTTCATTTTCACCAGCTCACTTCTAAAACCTTCCTTATCCTTTCCATCCAGTAAGTAAATCACAGTCAGCCATTGTTGTATGGATCACCTCAGACAAGACATCTCCCTTTGTTTGCCTTGCTGTTGGGTCTGTTCAGGTCATGTTTGCTCTCTCTCTATGCCCATAAAGTGCACACACACACATTGGTACTACAGGGAATCTGACTTTAACAGGCGCTGTTGACTTCATGCTAATCACCTCGTACAGATTTTCATTTGTGAGGCCTGGAGGAGTGACATTTGCTTTCCTTAATTGCGAAGCAGAGCGTCTGAAAGAGGACCAACCCTCTATGGGCATGCTGGGCCCCCTCTAAGGGCCTGACCTTCATCAGTGCGGACGATTACAGCAAATAATTCACCCTTCAAAATTACTGTAAACAAATTGACTTTGGGGATGAGAGAGAACAGAGGGTGGGGGTACGAAGGAGGAGGAGGAGGCAAGAAGAGGGCCTGATGGTGACGGCGACTGTTGGGGGGCAGCTGCAGCCTCAAACCTACGACAGGCATACACAAACACGCACACAAACACAGAAGCAGCCACCTCGGAAATCCCACTGCCCCCTCCCACACACAGAAGGACCCATGGAGAGGCAGTGACTGAGGCCCTAAGCCGTCCACCCTTCTGCCTAAAAATTTGCATATGTCTCAATGCACAGACAGAGCGGGGAGCATGTGCTGAATGGGGACCGTGGAGAAGTGGATTACACAGTCAGCACAGGCGATCTGATGACAGACACGCACAATGCCCCCTCAGCAGATGATAGGCATCATGAGGAGTGGACGGATGAGGGTGCAAAGAGCTGGTCTGGTCTGGCTGTAGCGTTACAAAATCCTTGCAAACTTTGGGTCACAATAAAAGAAAGCAACACCGTTTAACTTCAAATGTCTAGACATCTTTTGTTTTGTTTTCAATTTTGGATGCTTGAATTTTTTTTTTCCAACATCATCTGCATGTTTAATGAATGAATTCATCCAACCTGTTAGCCATTTTTTAATCTTTTCCTTGTCTGTTTAGGGCAAGCTGTGGAGAATGTCAAAACTGATCTGAGATCTGAGCAGAGGAGGTCTGAGCTCTAGTATTGTGACACTCAAACAGGTCCGATGTGGCCCCGTGAAGCCGTCCTTTGTTCTGCCTGCTGAAATGTGTTGTAATTGTGCTGTGGGATGTCCAGATGGTCGGTTGATAGTGCAGCTGATGGGATTATACCTTTTACCTCTCCCTGGGCCATCTGTTCCCTTTGACTCTCTCTGTCTCTCTCTCTGTCTCACCCGCAGCCTCTCTCACTCATACTCTCTCCTCCTCTTTCTCCTCTCCTCCTATCCTTTCCCACCTTCTTTTCTCCTTCTTTTTCCTCCTCTTAGGCCCAGCAGTCTGGATTCACTTGTCTTTATTGCATAAACCCTAACAGCATTACAGCCACTTGGCATGCAAATGAGGCAGGCGCTGCAGGCTCTATACTGAGTCTCCTATATTGTCTGGGGCTCTATAATGGTGGAACTGAGCTAAGGAACGTGCTTGTACGAGTGTGTGTCAGCGTGTGTCTGTGAGTGAGTGAGAGTGTGTCTGCATTTGTAGGGGTGATGCTGTGTATGAAAGACTCAGCTATTTGCGAGTGTGTTTATGCACCTTTCAGCCTGAATCCATACATGTTTGAGTGACACGCAGCCTCAAAGCACATTCGTGTCTGAATGCATAATATGCTTGTTGTGTGGCAGTGTGCACAAGTGAACAAAAATGTCACACGGGTGATATTCTGTCTGTCATCCAGAGGCGATCCCCTGTTTGTACCAACAGGGGGCAGCACTTCTTGATCAGTGTGCGAGTGCAGAATGAGCAGGGAGGAAGGATAAAGCCAGCCGCATATCTGAGACTTCTCGCCCTGTGAACTCCAGAGGAAGAATGTGTTGCTAATTTAAAGCACGCTGTCTGTCTGCCGGCTCGTTGTCAGAGTACTGTGGAGCCCATGGCTGGAGTTGCATTTTAAGACTGGCTTTCGTTTTTATTCATGTGTCACATCTCTGTTTGTCAAAGGTGACCCAAGAAAAGTGAGCTATTGCTGTTGATGCATGATAAATTAGTTGTTGTGCGGCTCAGATCTCAACTTGTGAGAGCAGCAAAGCAGAGGGAAGGTGTACCAAACTCATATGACATGACATGTTCAACTGGGCGGTTGACAATAGCTCCTTTTCTTGCTTTACTGGGCGTCACTCTGCTGCTTTGAAGAGTGTGGTGAAGAGAAGAGAATAAAAGGATGTGTCGGAGTAACCTGTAAAGAACACAAGCACACACGCCCGTACACCCATACATAGACAAACACACACAACACGCATGGAGGTCCCACGAGACCAGGGGAACATGGAGGCAAGGGCTCAACCTCTTTAATTGCTCTCCTCATTAAGAAACTGGTTGCTAGGCGATCCACACCTATCGTGTCATAAACGTGAAACACACAAACAGAACGTCAGCGAACATAATGACTTTGGTGCTCCGGGCAGGACTTTAATTATTTGATTTTGTTCTCCAGTAGAGGAGTCATTAATAAAGACAAAAACAAATAGATTAGCTTTTTCCCCCACTAGGACTGGAGAGCACTGAGATATATTAATTGTCTGTTGTTTTTTTTGTTGTTTTTTAAGTTGTTGTATTAAATATTGCATTTGCTTTTGGTGATAGAACCATTAATGTCCATGAATGTGTAGAGCAGCTTGTTTTAGTCAGCGGTGTATATAAACTGTTTGCCCAGCCATAATTGGCTTTAGAAATGCGAAGACAAGCTATTTGCACAATTGCACAATAAGTCATTCAACTACTCTTTTTTTATTTTTAAAAGTCTCTGAGCTGTGTGTGCTCCCATCTGCAAGTGGAAGCCACGAGGGTCAAAAGGTTACGCTTAGTGCATTTTACTTTTTGGATTTCCCATGGTTTGGTGGTCCTTCTTTTCTCTCTTTTGGCTGAGAAGGCAATCAGTCTATCATATGGAATCAGTTGGAAGAAAAACAGTAAGTTCTGTTTTTCTCATAGGCCACCCCACCCCTCCACACACACACACACACACACACACCATCAACCCAGTCTTACACCCCCTCTCCCTTCTTTCTGTCTTTCTCCTTCCTCCCCCTGGTTCAGCTCTCTCACAGTTAAATCTGCACAACCCAATGGCAGGAAATTGACCTCACAGCCAAATTCTTAAGCAATTTGATCATGTTTCGCACAGGCTTTTAGGACAAATGTAGGTGCATTAGGAGACTGGAAGTAGTATAACATTTTAAATGAGTCTGAGAATCATAATCGTTGTTGGTGGTACTGAAATGATAAGCAGGCTGCATAATGCATACTACTTTCAATCTATGCATAACGGCAGGTATGAGGGAGGCAAAAAGCAACTGAAAAAGTGAAAATGAATGATGGAAGAACAAAAGATTCTAAGGAAGTCGAAGCAGCTAGAGCTGTGATCTGAAAAATGGGAGAATGTCTGAGAGGAACTAAGGGGGAAAAAAAATAAAAAGAGCGTAGCAAATTATAAGATGTAAAAATGTGCCTACCATTCTCCAGATAAGGAGGCGTACCTTCTGAAGGGTCGAGTCTGCGAGCCCTTCGCCCATGCTTGGAATTGTTGTGTACGAACATGTTGTCAGAGACAGCCAGGACATGGCCATCCACATTGACAGTCGTTGACACCACAACCTGCAGGAAGGGGAAGTAAGTAAGGTAAGTACTTTTTTTTCAGCAACGCAATAGTGCAGACTTTGCCGTAATTCATAGGCAAGGATCGTATCTAAATGTTTCAGAGAATATACTTTGTCAAAAGGCAGGGCTTTTGTGCTCTTAGTTACCATTCCCAAACTATCTGGAATTATTGCACTTGAAGTGACTGGATATATCATATTACATATTCCTGGCTTCTCATTCATTTTGTGTTTGCCTTTTAGTGTCCTGCATTTGTGTACGGCTAATAGACTTTTCACTCAGTAAAATATAATTTCCATCTTCCACATTACCAGCAGCCATCGTGGCCGACGCTTGAAATCATTGATCAGCTTGTCTACCTATTTGAGGATGGAAGGCCTCCCTTTTAAAATATAACTGGAGTCATTAGTAACCAATCCATACTCTATCCCATCACTCAGCAAACATTTTACTAGGATCAAATTCCAAACCACACTCCATATTTCATAATGCTTATTTTTGTTGTTGTTTTTTCGGCTACCACATTCCAAAAAGTGAGCTGTGTGTGAATGGCCAAAGTGTTTCTGAGCCGGAAACCAAGAGCCCCTCTCAGGTTTGCTTCGCCGGTAAGTGACCTCGGTGTAGCGGTGGAATTTAGGGGGGTACTTTTTTTGGTTGGTTTGGAAAAGGTGGGGGTTTAGGGGGAGGAGGGAAGAGCAGGGGAAGTGAAAGAGCTCCATTCTTGTGAGCAGGTTCAGAGCTGGGCCAAGCTGAGGATGATGGATTGGGCCGTTTCTGGCCTCCAGCTGGTTTTGGGGGGTAATAAGTAGAGTGGAAGGCATGTAGAATACACAACTTTGGCTAAAGAAACACCTATGGTGGAGCATCTGGAAAATCTATTGTGGGGAAATGCATACTAACTGTTAAACAGAGGATGACGAACAATCAGCTATAACAGAGTAATAAAATATGTTGTGGAGACGAAAACTTAGTTCTTGGATTCCATCCTACACACAAAAGTAAGAAGTGAAAGCCCATGGTGGCTGTCACGCATCAGTCCACATTCACCCCTAGGGAAGATTTGAGGAAACGGGGGGTGTTCTGATGCTGGTGACATCAGGAGGGGACACCCTGTCTTGTCTGTTTTATGTCTGGGCTTCCTCCTGGAGGATGCCTGCTCATGTGTCTATCACAGAACAGTGCTACCAGTGATGGACATCTTCCTGTTGTTTGTCGTTATCCTGATGGAACAAATCACACTAAACTCTCACTGTCTCACCTTGACCTAGTGGGCTGCTTGTGGTGAAAGGCTCTGGATAGGATGGATGGATGGTGGGATAAATGGATCGGCAGGGGGTCAGTCTCTTTAAGACCCAACGTCTTAACACATTAGGTTATAGCAATTTGATTAGTGTGTAAAAAAGAAACAAAACACAAAAAAGGACAAGCAGTACTGCAGTGTCCGTGTCTGTCTATGAAGCATAGCAGATTTCAAATAACTTAAAATGGTATTCACCGGCTACACAGAGAATTGCATGTGTCAGACATTAAGTGTATGCATATGTGGCCAAGAATGAGAGGGATTTGGAGAAAGCAAGCACATGATTCCCAACATTTATGTGCACACATCCATCCATATGTGTGTGCATTTGTGTGCATGCTTCCGCATATGTGTGTACAAGAAGGTATGCGTTTCCTCAGCCAGACAGATCCTGAGTTAACACTGTTGTTACATGTGGTTGGATCGTCCTCCCCTCTGCGCTGAGGCTCAGAAAGCTGTCAGGAACACAATTGATGGCACTCTTAAATCCTGTATCCTTATTTGTGTCAGATGGTATTCTCTAATAAATATTCTGTCCAGAGCACACAGGAAACAAAATCCCTCACTCTCCCTTTTTCTGGTTTTTGCCTCCTTCAGTGCCCATAATAAAAACATGCTCGTATGTGAGTCTGTGTCAGTGTGAGTTAGAATTGTCTGGCAGCTGTAGGTGTGCCTTTTTCTGCACACTGTGTGTATGTGTCCTTGTGTCTGAAATAAAGAGACAAGACAGTGAGAGACAGAGGCAGAAATAGAGCATATGTGTGAAATAGGTCTCAGTCACCTGGAATCTGCGCATGTCCCGTGGATTCCCTGCATTCTTCAGGCAGTTCTGATTGCACTTGAGGAAGAACTTAAGGAAGAATCTGAAAGAGAGCACAAGAGAAAAAGAACTATTAACCTTATCCGTATAACCGAAATGTTAGTCAGATAAATAAATACAAGTGCAAAAATATTCCTTTCACACACACATACATTCAGGTATCGCACGAATTGAGTTTGGGAAGTCACACTCCTCTTCTTTTTGTCTTTTGAAAATCAAGAGCGTCATTCTCTTTGTGATCTCATCTTCTCACCTGAGTTCACAGGTCTTCCCCAACACCCATCTGCCACTAACATACAGGAAGTCACTTGATATTCCACCCACCTCTTTAATCCCAGGACACCCCCTGTGCAATTAAAGTTCTGCTGTTCAATAGGGAAGCAAATGAGGCCCACCTGTGACCAGGTCTTGTTTGAAGAGCATCAGGGATAAAGGACCTAACAAGGTGAGAGCGCGCCACAAAACTTATAGTCCTGTCAGGCAATTAGGCGGACACTCCTGGGACTGCTGTATGCCACACACGCACAGACACACACACACATAATGCTCACACACACCCATGTACTTGTGGGTGGGTGAGGCAATTATGCCACAAATTACAACCTGGCTAATCTTCTCTGAACAAATGTCACGTCTGAGTGAGATCTGGGCTTGGTTGGTTTGTAAGCAGCCTTCGTCTGTCCCTTTCTCTTGGGTCTCGCAGAATTTATTGATAAGGCCTCGAAGTGAGAGTTGGAGTTGGGTATCAGATGTGGCCTTGCAGGCGTGAAACAGTTAAAGAGGAAATTTTGTTAGTGAGAAAAAGAAACTCCTGAGAGAAATGATCTCTGAGATCTTACATGACCACAAATTATAAGGAAATTAAATCGACTTGTTTTTTTAAATTTCCCCACAGAATCGTGACTGATTGCATCTTGCCTTTGTAGGATTCATTCTAAATACGGCGCTCTGTTATTTATTATTATTTATTTTTCATTGCATTGCGCTAGTATCACAATATGCAATACCATGGTTTGCTCTGTAATACTAACTTGGCTCAGAGACACGCAGCAGCTCATTGGATTACCATAGATTGCACCATAGATTGCCTGGCCATTTCATTCAGCTAAATTCAGTGGTTTGTGTGGCCCATGAGGAGCTTTCACAACACTTAAGACTTCTCGTTCACCCAGTGGGATCCTGGCCAGGCCATAAATCAGAGTCTGAAATGACCCTTCTAACCCTGGCCACATTAACACATGCACTGGTCATTTGGAAGCGTTCTTCGATAGACTCCTATACCTTGTGCTTCACCGTGGGCCCAGGAGGGAGAGGAGAGGTGAGAAAATATTTTCACTCCACATCCAAGGAGCTTTGGCTTGGACATCAATAAAAGACGTTTTAACCCATGCCAAAATGCTGATTGCCTGTCGGTGTGTGGCGAGGCCATAAAAAACCTGACTTGTCATTAGTGCATTTCGCTTGATTGTGTTCACTGTGTTTTCAGGTTGCATCTGTTGGCTGATCATCAAAATGACCATTATGTACTCTAATTCCCTGACCCTGTTTTTATTTCCCCAAAGAGTCATAATGTAGAGCAGCAGACATCTGCGGAAAGCAGACCTGAAATACGACTTTTATTTGTCTGTCGCTTCTAATACGGATTGGGTAGGATCGGTGGTGTGTGTTTATGTGTACGTCTGTGGTGTGTTTGTGTGAGCGCGCATACACATGCATCTCCTTTTGAGGGACAATTTATGTCAGAGCAAGTGATAGAATATATTTCCCAGGCAATACATTCACTTCATAAAAGAAACACATTACTTTCGGAGTTTGTTTTGTCTCTTTCCTGGATACTTTCCCGCGTTTACATGCTCTCCTTACCACAGCAAAACCGAAAGTTAAGAAACAATAAACACAGGAAATTGAGTGCCCACGCAATCATAAAGTAGCTCCTTTATGTTTACTGTTATGAAGGCAATTAAGCACAATTCCTCTCCTAAAAAGATAAGCTTAATTTTCATAGTCCGCAGCAGTGGCAGTGCTATAGCATCCATTACATTTGAGTTGGTTAAGATTCTCCATGAGTACAGTGCAAATTGGTCCTTGGTGAAAAGGAGAGCAATTAAGAAAAGGCCCCTCTCTCTCCTTTACTTCTTAAATATCTACAGAAGTTTGTGCTGGTGTTTTGGCATGCATGGAGACAAAAGGAGGTTGTTTAATTGTTTTTTAATGGGATATCAAGTCGTCGCTGCCATTAGATGTTGGCAATGGAGGGCAAAGGGGGATAGAGAGAAAGAATGAACTGCAATTAGGTTTGATTAAAGCTATCCTTCTCAATAATCAGCTGTTCTGACAGGACAGGGGGACCCTGGTGGCCGCTGAGATGGAGGAAGGTGTTGAGTGATATTAAGGCCAATGAAGGGGATATTAACATGGCTAATTAAAGCTCTTCCAAAGCTGGGAGTGGAGGCTCTCTGTGGACTCCACTGGATGAAATAATCGGCCAAGGCAGCTATCAGTTGGAGGAGAGAGAGAAAAGGAGTGCGGGAAGGGGTGGGGTGTAGTCCATCTGAGGGGAGCGGGGAGTGGAGGGAGGGATAGTGGGAGGCGTAAAGGAAAACTATGAAGTGTGAAGAAAGACAAAGAGGAAGACATCGACAGGCATATAGAGAAAGACTTCCAGGGCAGCCACAGAAGCTCATTTTGACATCAAGCCTTTCTGTCTGCATGCCCTAAGTCTGCCAGTATAACTAAGACCTGACATGGCCTTTTATCTCCGAAAGCTAGTCATACAGGTCCACAAATCAACGTTAAAACAATCCTGCTCATGCCTTGGTCTAAGGCAATTAATACGGTTCTCCTGTAGTACCTCCATGCTCGCCCACTGCCGAAGCTACTAATCATGCCATAATGATTTCTCTCCCTCTGGTCAAAGGGGAAATAGATTGTCTCTTTAGTAATGCAGCAGGCTCTGCGCCTTCCACTCCCTGGCTTCACAGACCCGGTAATTGAGGAGAAAAAGGCCGACTTTGGCACTTTGACTGATTTGAGGGCTGCTAGACCCTCTTATCTTTACTCTGATCATTTTAGGCTGACACTCAAAGGAAGACCCATCGCCCTAATTCGAGCTCACCCTCTGCCATCATCAAACAGAGGGGGAATAGAAAGAGAAAAGAGAGAGAAAAAACAAACATGTGAGGTGAGGAAGGCTTTCTCTCATTTAAATGGCCAACTTAATTGCCGGGTTGATGTCAGTCATGCATAAATGTCCGTGCTTTTGATTTGACTGAAGAGGGCAAATAAGTATAATGTTATATTATTAAGAAAGCTATATCGACAGCAAAGGCTTACAAGTCAGTAGATCTTATCTCTTTTTAATCAATTCATCTTTTAGATTTGTATCAGTTTTAATTACATCTAAAATATTTATCCATGTTTGAGATGTACGGATCTTAACTTTTCACATTCTTTCAATTCCAGTTTTTCTGATTTCTTCAATTAGTTAGTGGAGACCATATTTTTTTCATTGACAGTACACCTTGTTCTTATTGTTCAAAAGAGCTTCCCCATATTTACTTAGGCCGTTACACAATACACTGACAGATGGCCACAGTATCTGTAAGAGGCAGGTATTGACAACTCTAAGCTCCTGATTGGTGCCCCGGCACTAATGACTAGCATGCAGTGTCCACAGCCGGCAGCCATGACAGTGAGGTCATCCGTTGCAAGACGGTGAGTATCGATCACCATCCAGCTCCAGCCCATCAGGCCCCAGCTGCCTCCCAGACTCAATGGGCCCCTGTTACAAGAGCCCTGTAAGAAACGGCTCCCAACACCAGACTACAATCTGCTGACACCAGATCTCTACGCTGAGATAGTAGTACACGGGTCAATAGCGTATCGGATTTCCAAAACGCCAGGGTCTTAATGTCAAGCCTCCTGCCTTGCCTACCTACTGCTCCAGTTATTAGGCACTTCAGTGAACTGCATTCAGATCCCTGTTGTGACAAGACGGAGCAGGTAAAAAAAGAAATAGAGACACTTATAGATCTTAATCTTCCCGAACACTTACTTATGCAGCTGAGTGGGCCCGGATATATATGCCAGTTAAGTTCCCGGGAGGCCGAATTGAGCCGCTTGGCCATTTCTGTCGTATTCTGGTTTGCCACTGTCTTCTCTAGTCAGGCAGGGCTGTTTTTCTCGCCTTAGCTGAAGTAAACCACAGCACATTAACAATATTTGCTCTACCCCTGTACAAGCGCCAAGGGACCAGACCCACAGATCCTATCACTTCTTTATCAGGGAACAAGTGCCTCACTATCCAACCTTATTGGGTTTGGAAGATTAACCCCTTCCACTCATGGGGTCTGCCCGCCTCCTCTGAGAGCAGCAAGGCAGATGTCACTGTGATTATTATTGTTCAACATCAAATATCCCAACTACATGTCTCTGAGAATTTATTGGGTATTTCCAAGGCCTTTTCTGTTTTTATTTCATTATTTCTTCGGTTGCTATTGTCAGTTCATTTTGTGGTTTTATATTTCATATTTTTGTTGGGAGGTATGTGTGTTGCGAGAGTGTCACAAATAATTTATGTGCTTCCTCTGCAACGTAAGATGTAGCTGTGTCCCTCCATTCATCCCTCTTTACCCTCTCCTCCTCCATCCCCCTTTTTCTCTAATGGGCAGAGTGGCATTGACATTATTTCACTTGAGGATCCCTCACTCTGTCAATCCCTCTTCATTTACTCCATGGCTACAGGACTCATTATGGTATCTCTTCCTCCTTCACTCTCCCTCACGCTCTCACTCATTCTCCTCACCTCCTGTCTTGCTTGCTCTCCAGCTATCTTTCTCTCGCTCTCTACACTGTTAGTTTCTTACTTAAGAGAATCGCTCGTCTTCACAAATGGTTTCACGTCAAGCCCACTCTCAGCTAGCCCCCACTTATTCCCTTCAGGTTTTGGCACAGGTTTACTGTAACAAATTAGACTTGGAGCTGCTGCTAACTATCCATCACTTGCTAGCGGTGGACTAAGGCTGTGTGCTTTATGCAGCTTTT